AATCCTCTGAATTGCTGTTTGAAGGCTCCAGAAAAACATTTTTTGTAACCATGATTTTGGGATGGAGTTTTCAACCAATGCCGGACTGCAAAGAAAATTTACGCTGTGAAATTTTCAATAAGTTCAGTTTTAGCCAAATTAAAGGACTGACTTTCTGAGTTGCTTGGAGGATCTGACATCATGATGCCACTGTACATAACCAAATCCAAGTTTCAACATGATGAACTTCTAAGAGCTATCCTGTATTACAGTTAGTGCAGAATAAATGGGCAGACTTTTACAACTCAAAAAGTCTGCCCATTTATTTTGCACTAACTGTAATACAGGATAGCTCTTAAAGGTTCATCTATCATTGAACCTGGAATGGGGGTGGTCCCTATACTTATGGCCCTTACTTAAACCTGAATAGTTCTTTTTGTGGTCTGTTGAAAAAGTAACATCTCAACAAATTTTGTTTTGACACGGTATTATTTTAATTTTTATCTAGAATCAGGCAACGGGAAAAATTATCTTAAGTCAAACTCTGCAACTAGTTTTGAAATAGCTCATCATAGCCATCCAATGAAATCAAGTTTTTTCCTCACTACATTGCTATTCAGTCATTTATTCTTAGATAGATTAAACTAATGTACTGGTATCAACTTTTCAGGATGCCCAGCAAACAGTACAAAAGGCTTATTCACTTCCTAAAAATAAATTGGATGATGGTGATGTATTGGACTTATTATTGAGTAAGTCAATCCAATCTGCGTCCTCTGAGTATTCATTCGAGGATGAAACAAATCCCAACACAAACGAGCTGATCTCCAAAAGAGGAAAACATGAATCTCCGAGGAAACAATATAGGCCGCGTAAACTATTATATAGTCCGGTTTCACCCCGAACTTCTGCAAATCAATGTGATTTTGATACAGAAATCGTAATGTTTGACTCTGATATTCCCATGAAGACTGCAAAGATCTCTGTTTTACAGAACCCTCAAAATGAGGAAATATTGAATGGCTCCAGCACCAAAAAAAATCGTGCAGATGAACCATATTCTATTCAGAATGATTCAACAGTAATTGCAAATTTTCCTGTTTTCTCTACTCCTCAAAATGATGATTACTCGTTAAATCAAATCGAAAATATTTTATATACCTCTAGTACAAGTACATGCGATGTCAATGTCATTCAAATGTCAGTTCCCCCAGTGACAACCCCTCCAGTGGTACCTACTCCAAAGACCATTACACCACCTCCAGTGGTACTTACTCCAAAGACCATTACACCCCCTCCAGTGGTACCTCCTCCAAAGACCATTATACCACCGTCAGTTCCTATGAACGAAGAAAGCTCAGTGGATGAACCAGAAGGTGTCAGCGAGAATAAAACAATGATAATCTCAACTGCTGCACAACTGGAACAACTTTTAAATTCCAGTGCCAGGGGCAAGGCTATCCTACTTAACTACCAAAAAAATGACAGTGGTCTTTCCACATCAGATTCGCTGATGCTGTGTCAGATAGTGCTCCGTGCAGAACTTGGAGATAATCCTGCCATTTTAAATTTAGTGAAAAAAGATTTTCTGAGATTACGTCAGTGCATCAAGGAGCTTTTTCCTGCTGAAAAAGCTGAAACTTATTATGTAGCCCCAATTTACAAGAAATGCTCTGCCAGGGGTAGGCTCCTCAATAAATATGAGAAATTGAGAGGAATTTTGATCAAGAGTGGTGTCATCACCGGAAGGAGGGCCTCTGCCTCAAAAGCAAGTCAAGCTCAAACCGCAGGTACATACATAGTTTTAATTGTTTTATTATTTGAATGCAAAGCTTCCAAACTAGTTCAGAGAGCTTTCCATTTCTTGCAACTTAGCTACAAAATTCCTGAAAATGGGATCCAAAATTTTAAAAAGCTCCTTTTCCAAGAGGAGAGCATTCACTATTGATAGGAATGCATTGACTGTGAAGCAAGATATTCCATCCTAAAATCACCAAATTTCTTATGAAGTTTTTCCCGGTGTAAACCAGGTATCTTTCAAAAGTAATTTGTTTTAACAATAAGCAAGAAATCCTGGGTCGCTGCTTTTACTTCTTTGCCAAAGAAAGACCTAGAAGAGGTGTTTTTTATAAACTTTCAAAAGCTTATTCTACATCATTAAGGTACTCATACTGGTGATTGTATTTGAAATCCTTCATGTCCATGACGCACCAATGGTAAAAGCAGAATAAAAAACTCACCTTAAGAGGGATGTTTTAAGCCTATCATGTGTCGATTTTCAGTAGATTCCTAACTGATATTTTCTCTTGAATTTTACAGAGAGTATTTTTGAAAGGTCAGAGAAAATGACATAACTTTTTATTCAACAACGATATTAGAATCCGTAAATGGAAAATGAAATATTACATGGTAGGTCAGGTTCCAACGCTGCCAACAATTATTTGTATTCTTCTGGTTTCACGATTGTATTTACTTACTTCAAGAATTTACACCAGTTTGCAAGTATATTTCTCAATTTTCCAACCTCTTCTATTCTTTCAGAATCTGCTGAACCTACTGGAAACACATTAAAATTAATTGAATGGTTGCAAACCAACTTGGGACCCCTTCCAACTTTAATTGAGATTTGGATTTTAACACAACAGCACCGCCTGGTAACTGAGAGAAGTCCAGCCAACGCAAAAGAAATTGGTACAGTCAGTGATTATCTGGACAAATATCCGGCTTTAAAAGTAGAGGATTTTTTTTTTTTTTTTTTTTGGAGACTACAAATTTTCATTCAATAGTTTTTTTGTTAATGGCCCCTGCTTTTTTGGCACTGTCAAGTTTTGAACTAATAATGAACCCTTGTTTCTCCACTTAAACCCTGCAAATCTGCAGTTTTGGCGCAACACACCTGTATTTTTGTTGTAACTTCTCAGTTTACAGTTTAAGTTAGCTGAAAAGTTGGAACTGTTTCTCAATGCTACAGTTTTTAACAGCTGACCAGAGTTGCTAAAAGAAATCTCATCGAATGAAATTTCGTGAAATTTCACAAGAAATTTCATGAAATTTCTTTTTTCCCCGTGAAATTTCTGAAATTTCTTTTTTCCCATGAAATTTTTTAACTCTGCAGATGACTCATCCTATCTTATCCTATCCAGCCTTCTTCAAGTACATGCAATTTGTTCTTTTCAAACATCTTTTTTAATTAGTAGAATTTTATCATGACTAATAACATAGTTTGTAGCCAACAATATTCCTGGCATTTGCAAGACATTAAACTCCTCTGAGAACTTACTGCGATGAATTTGAGTGAAGACATAATGCCAAGATATGGAGGAGAGACGAACCTTATTCAGCAATGGAAACAAGACTGAAAACACTTACAAAACCATGGGCTAAGCCCGGCACATTCGCTGGCGTGTAATGTGCACGGTCAGCTCTCTCACACGTACATGCCCAATGCACATCACAAAAAATGGGAAATGTATGGATAAATTTTTGCTTTTCCTCAAAATTTTAGCTGACTGCTGATGTATAGAACAGGGTGGCAAGCGTCAGGGAAAACCGGGAAAAGTCAAGGAATAGTCAGGGATTTTTGTGCCCGGTCAGGGAATTTTCGATTTTTTCTTCGAAATTTCCTTTTTATCGAAGCCGATTAAGATTTGTATTTCATGCTCAACTGCAATTACTTACGATAAAAACCGTTTCGAAACACTAAAACCATCCAACAAACAAAAACTGTTTTCCGTGAAAAAAATGTGTTTGATTTGACGGTTTCCAATAATTTCCAAAGGTCAGGGAATTCTATCGGTAAGTCAGGAAAAAGTCAGGGAATTTTGAAATAGAATTTGATTTGCCACCCTGATAGAATCAGTTTTTTTACAATCCTCCTGTTTTATTCCTGTGAAGAAAAGCTAAATAAATTTCTCCTTTTGAAATTTTTCTTTGTGTCACAAAAAATATTTTACAACAATTTCAGAAAGTAATATTAGAATCATTTTCTGTGAAAAATGAATTTACGCCATTTTACTATTCCTGAATTTACGTCAGCAATACAAGTAATATTTTTTGAAGAAAGAGATCTCTCATGGTTACCTATGTGCGTTTCTCTCCCACTCCGTAAGCTCTATAAAAGTGATGTATTGGACGATCTTTGTTCCGATTCTGTTAATATTTCACCTTCTGTTAATGTTTAATATCCTAGAAAGGTTTCATGAATGAAAAGCAGAAAATTATACAGAGACTAAAAATAAGACTTGCCTTGAGAGGATGCTGGTCAAAATTTCATAGTGATTGTGCTCATTCTGTCCTGTTAATTTCTTTGTAAAATTTGCATTACTTAATTTTTTTGACAGGTAGAGGTGGATTTTGAGTATCTTCACCCTAGTAAAGGAGATTTCTTTCACAAGCAGTGGTCTCACGTCGCATCTGCTATTGTTGATTTGGTTTTGGCCAGTGGAAATAAATATGATGATATAGTTGCGCTTTCTGGGGCAGATATTTTTACAAATGGTGAGCAGAATATTTTATTTTATTGGTATTATTATTTTGTTAAACTCAACTTATCACTTTGCAGCAGAATTTTATTTGCTTTCCATTTCTCCCATTGTCAATCGGAAATTGATGAATTATCATGGTTCGTGCTGATTATTTGAAGGAATTGAAGATACTTTTGACCCTTGAGCAGCGTTTATGTTTCTTTATTATTCTTCTTTGTTCCAAAATCGAGCTTGCCTCAAGTAATTCTTTAGCAACAATTTTCTTTTTCTACCTCCTCTGCAAGCAGTCAAAGCCATCAAAGAAAGAAAACATTCCCTAAAGTTTCCAATTGATTTCAACTATTACCATGGGATTGCGCTATGTCCTTGTGGCAGTCTCCGCACACAGTGCAAAGCAGTCATGTCCGCATACCTACCATTTAATTGGAACTGGTGACTTGCGCAATCGCATAGCAAGATCTAGATTCTCAAGGATGGAATTTTCAAGAGGTGTCATAGTTTCATAGAGTTAAATAAAGTTCAAATTGGACTGTATCAAGCATAAAGGAACCTCAAGTTTATGGTACCCCATAGCAAATGGCTCCTTTTTGCTTAATGCAGTCCAATTGGTATCATGAAAAGTGCCATTCCGCTGAGTTAGAATTTAAGATTTTGTTAGATTGTTCAGGGGCAACCTGGCAAGGGGCCGGTGGTATGTCTCCCTCCTGGCGATGCAGTGAGCTGTCTTGGTTTACCTAAAAAAGTGCTTGAACTTGGAAGCTTCAACTGAACCAGTAATTAAAATCAAAATGGTTATGACCGCTGAAAAAAACATGTCAATCCTGTTGATTATTACTGCAGTTTTCAAGCTTGCAATATTCGTAATTGACTTTTGTAGGTGGACTACTCTCTTTCAAAAGGAGGAGGTTTAGTGATGATTTCATGGTAATAAAGAAATGTATGAGCCACATTAAGCTACAAGTAAAGAAAATTAAATCAGGACGTCAAAGCAGTAAAAGTTAAGTTCTTTAATTTTTGTTGTAAATTTAAAAAGTTATAAAAGCAGACACCCTCAAGATATTTTTAAATAGTATTTGATAGTCAAGGAAAATGACAGTTTTTGTCCTGTCAAGTGTTCCAATCCTCCTCTTTTCCATCTCCAATTAATTTTCCTAACCAAGAATACTTCCATCTCCCTGAAATTTGAAGTTTCCTCCTAATTTGAATGCCAAATGAATCAATAAGAAACATATACGCTATCAAGTAATGCTTTAGGATACACATACATGGTTCATCTACGAGTCAGTTATTGTTGTTTTAGGTGTAAACCAACCATGTAATTAGTTATGTGGCAGCATTTATTATTTAGTTTTCTATTAATCACTGTTACTAGCAGTACCTCTTTAAGATTTTCACATAGTCTTACACAAGATGAGGGGAATTTTCTAAATGCTGTGATCATACTTACATGGGTAGTGCAACGAACTATTTGCCATGACTTTTTTTTGGCAACGATGCTGACTGCTAAATAACCATCATAATTCTCACACACACGTGAGAATCTTCGAATTTGTTTAAGTAAATGTCTGAATGCTCAGTTGTACCATGAAACTTGTAACAACTGTGCTTAAAAATACTTTAGTGCACAAAATTTTGTTGTCAAGCCTGTGTGAACCATGATTTTGTTGAATTAATTTTAGCTTTGAAAAATTCAATCTTGATTTTTATTGGTTGGATCAAGAAATTCCACAAAATACACGTAACTAGTATCACATAAGAAAAAAAAAATCATCTCTCACAGTCTGAACGGGTTAATACTTTTCTGAACAAACAGACTCAATGTTATTTTAAAGTTAAACTTGATCTCCTTTTAATCACCAAAATGATACTGATTTCTTTCAGTCACCAGGAACCTAAATTTCGAAGTTCTTGTAATTTTACATTTTTTATTAAAATCTTCAATTAATTTTTTTTTTTTGTTTTCTACCACTAATGTAATTTTTTTTACAGCCTTTACTTTTCCTGATACTGTCTGGCACAAATTGAAAACGTTAGGAGTTCTGTTCCACCTCTCCCCTAAATCCTATCCGTTCATCATCTGTGTGTTTCAGCTCATTAAATATAATTGTCAATGAAATTAAGTTTACAAAAAAAATGTTATGAGAATAAGAACATAACTATTAAATGAGCTGATTAAGGTGTTAGGTGCAGAAAGTGCGTTTCTCAGTTGCAGTCTTTCAGAATCTCCACTGCTACTTTATATTTTAGAGAGGAAACTTCTGGGTGAATTTTCTGAAATTTTTCGTTTTCAGCAATGTTAAATAGTAAAGAATATTCAGTTAAAGTTTCAATGAATTGCATACATGTGCTTTTATCACCATGGACGACTTAAAAGTGTAGATTTTGAGACTCTGCACCAAGAAATGCACTTTTGTTTGCTTTGGGATGTAATCACAAAAAGTTAATGCACACACTTTGGGAGTTTGGTCTCTACAGGGTTATCCAAGGTTCAACTGTCAGACTGCAGGAGCATCCTCTATGGCTCAAAATGAGTCATTGTTCTTTAGTGAAAGTCCTCCCAAAAGTGCTTTATAAGAGGGCTACACAGCCCCTCCACTCCTCAAAGTTCTGGGAAATATCGTTTTTCCATGCATTTTTGCATAGGTAAAGCACCGAATCTCGTAAAAATTGGTACACACTCATAATTTGATACACTGAAATGATTGATGACTTTAAAGGAATCAAAATCTCAGTTAACCAGATGGATCTTTAACTTTAGAAGGCCAATAAGTAGCGTTTAATTAATAGATTTTAATTTTCTCTGGGGCGTAATTTTTGAGATAATTGAACAAAAATGGAGAATTTGCACTCATATTGTTTATCAAACTTATCCCTTCAATCAGTAGATAGGCAACATAATAAAACTTTGACGCCATAGAAATAATTTTACCATAGAATCGCAATAGACAATTTGCAGGAAAAAATGCAATCGCTTCATCTAAGAGTGATTACAGAACTGAGTTCGCAGTAATTTTGATAATTTTTTCCTGAAATCGGATCTTGTAGAAAAATATATTTTAAAGTGAGAAAATGAGCCGCCTTGTGACATTCTCTTTGATAAGATGTTTTGTTTTGAATTTTCAGATCCAGAAGTACGGAAGGTGGCCGCAATCCTGATTTTACCCTTCCTATTCCCATGCCCTGGGGACATTAATTTTGGACGAAAAGGAGCGGAAGCATGGAAACCTAGCAAGGTTGAGTCTGCTCAAGGTTTTCTCCTTAAAGTGCCATCGCAGGCTATGGTTGAAATAACCCTACAAAGGAAGAGAGAATTCTCATACAAGAAAAAGCAGCCCTCACAGCCTCGAAGTGTCATTGTTGGGGAAGGCACCAAACCTTCTCAAGTATTTGTAACAGTAAATGATCTTAAGTACCATTTTAAGACACCACCCGAAGCAATCGATTGGTGTTTTAAATTATTCTTTTCGCTCGATTGCGCCTATCCTGCCGAGTGTCAACAGGTTTATTTCTTTCTTCAACGGTACGTGTACAAAGTAGAGACGCCTTTTGACAAAAATTTCATTGCGGTACATGACCTTGCTAAAATGCTGAAACTGCAATAGGATGTCTCCTCGAGTGAAGTTTCAGGCCAAGGTACCATTTCAGAACAACACCCGAAGTAATTGACGGGTGCTTCAAACTGTTTTTTTCTCTTTGTTGTGATTGACTTGGTGCTTCAAACTGTGTTTTTCTCTTAGTTGTTCTTATTCTGCTGAATGTTAGAAAGTTTATATATTTTTTTCTCTTGGTTGTTCTTATCAAATTTTTTCAAAATTTTTACCTAGGCCAAAATTCTGAAAATGCCTCACTGTGTCAAATGTCAGGCTAACTTGCCAAATCCGGCCGAGCTTATACGACACTATAAGTTTGTCCATTTCATCAGTGTTACTGGTGAGTCAATTCAATGTTCCGAGTGCCAACGGCACTATTGGTGCCTCAAAAGTTTGCAAAATCATTTTTCTCGTTGCCATGCTCAAGAAGAGGCAAATTTTTTTGATCCTTTCTTTGAAGAGCCAGATAATGATAATGAAATTCATGAACCTCAGAGTGAAAATGAAGAGAATGATATTAATGTAGAACCCAATAACCCTGTTGTGATAGGAAATCCTAAAGATGTGCTTCACAAGGAAGCAGTTGACTTTATCGCTTATTTGTACTCTACAGTAAACATACCACGTAACTATGTAGAAAAAGTGAGAGGGGGAGTATCAGGAATAATTAGCACCGTTCAAACAATTTTCAAAGAAAAATTAGAAAACTCCCTACCAGAAGACGTCATGAGAAGGGATGTTGATCCCTTACTCAACTTGCTTTCAAACATCTTTGAACCGTTGAAAACAGAGTACAGAACACTTAAATTGTTTGAAAATGAAGGTACTTATATTGCCCCGAAGGAAATTGAAATTGGCGAACGGAAAGATAGAAGAAAAGAAAATTTTAAAATCAGAATTGTATCGGTCCCAGTGACCGCTCAGTATGTTCCACTTCCATTAATCTTACAAAAATTTTTCGAGCAGCCAGATGTTCTTAAAAAAACTTTAGCCTATGAAACAAAGTTACTCTCAGAAACATCCTATGTTTCTAATTTTATTCAAAGTGAGTATTGGAAGAAAATTCTGAACAAAAATCCAGGTAAGAAAATATTCCCGGTGTTCTTATATATTGACGATTTCGAAACTGGCAACCCGTTAGGCTCGCGTGCAGGAGTTCATAAGCTAAGTGGAGTTTACATGACTCTTCCTATCATTCCGCCCGAATTTCGCTCAACTTTAAGATGTATTTTCCTTGTCATGCTGTTTCATAGTGAAGACAGAAAACTTTTTTCCTATCATGATTTTTTTAAGGAGCTAATACCAGACTTGAATAGATTATCAGAAAACGGTCTATCATTTAATATTGAATGCTTCTCAGGCAAATTACATTTTCAACTTGCACTACTTCAAGGGGATAATCTTGCCCACCATGAAGTCGGGGGCTTCGCAGAATCTTTTAATTGTAATTACCCCTGCATCTATTGTAAAGTTCATAAAGACATCCTACACTTCCAAGTTGAGGAAGATGAAAATTTACGTCGTACAATAGAAATGTATCAAAATGACCTTCAACTCAATAATGTTTCTGAAACTGGTATTATTAGTGAGTGTGTTTTGAACAAAGTTGAGGGTTGGCATGTTGTTAATTCTTTAGCTCCCGATTTACAACACGATATACTGGAAGGGACTGCAAAATATGTCATGGGTCTAGTTTTGCATCACTGTATTTTTACAAAGAAATATTTTACTGTAGAAGAGTTTAATTTAATGATTCTAAATTTCGATTTTGGTGTTAATAGCCATGAAAATAAGCCTCCTCCTCAAACCGAAAAACATTTGCGAGAGAAAAAAATCAAGATGTCATCTGCTGAAATGTTGCATTTTCTGAAATATTTAGGTGTAATGTATTCAAACTTTGTTCCACCAACTGATGAATTTTGGCTTTTGTATTTGGCTTTAAGAAAAATTCTTTCATTAATTTTATCACCGCGCTTGCAAGCTGGGTGTGATACATTGTTAAAAGCTTATGTTAAAGAACTGAATGAACTTTATCTAAAAATTTCTGGAAGTCATCTGCAAAATAAATTTCATCACTTAGTGCATTATCCCACGCTCCTGCGTCATTTTGGTAATCTCAAGGATTTATGGAATATGAGAACTGAGGGGTATCATAAAATTTCAAAATTAGTTGCATCATCTGTTCCCACCAGGAAAAATCTTTGTAAAACTATAGCGATACGTCATCAACTTAACTTAAATTGGCTGTTCAGGTCCAACCAATTTTACCCTGATAGGCTAAAGGTTGGCCCAAGTGAAGATTTTGACATAGAACTCTTACCCAACTATGAGCAAATGGGTTGCCCCAATGACAAGAAACTTTTCAAGCATTGTTACCATGCTGAGGTAAATGGAACAGCTTATGATAAAAACATGGTTGTTTGCTACGACTTCAATGATACCCATCCAGAATTCGCTATCATCAAGAAAATTTTGATTTTTAATGCAGAGTCTGTTCATTTTATTGGTAGAAAATTGAAAGTTCTTTATTATGATGTGCATGCAGCTGCATATCTTGTTGAACCTGTCAGCAAAACCGAAAGTTGCCCTCATATTTTTATAAATCAGTGTGATCTCCACCAGTATGCTCCTTTTCCACTTCTTACAGGAAATGAAGGAGGATCATACATCGCTTCTTTTGGCCTATTTGAGTAAATAGAAATAAAATGTTTTGTTTCCCACAAGTTCATTGAAAGTAGCTTTTTTATATGAGGTGCCATGTCTTACAGTTTTGTTCGCACCAAAGTCCCTAGTAATATTTTAAGTAGCATTGTGGCAGCGACCCTGTTAAAAATGTCCCATGTGTCCGCATGAAAATTTCATAGGGGCCCATGAGAATTTCATGGGGGCCCATGTGAATTTCATGGGGACCCATGGGGGCTCATGGGTCCCCATGGGCAGGACCTGGGTGCCCATGGGCAGGACCGGGGTGCCCATGGGGAGGATCGGGGTGCCCATGGGGAGGACCGGGGTGCCCATGAGGAGGACCGGGGTGCCCATGAGGAGGACCGGGGTGCCCATGGGGAGGACCGGGGTGCCCATGGGGATGGACCGTGGTGCCCGTGGGGAGGACTGTGGTTCCCGTGGAGAGAACTTGGGCGTCCGTGAGCAAGACCGGGTTGCCCGCGGGAAAGTGTCGGTGCCCAGGAAAGGTCAAAGCTTAACAGTTAATTCTGTATCACTTGGTACAAGGAACACCCGAGAAAACTTTAAAAATTATACTACCCTTTGAGAGCCACTTATTTTAATAAGGTATAGCGATCACAATAAAATTAAGTTGAGAGCTTGAGAAAAACGAAGTTAAAGTTTGCCAGTCGGTGCTGTTGAGGTTAATAGAAAAAATCATTTTACTTGCGAAAAATGTATAATTATTTATTGAAATGACCTTCATCCCAAGTAGCACAGTGCAACGAAAATATTGAAATTAAATTGCAATTTCATTTTAATAAAATGGTAATTTTTTTACAATTGTTGAGATATGGCTAATTTTCATAATCAGTGCAACGCTGCACAGCAAAGCTGATGCAGAGTAATCATTTTTCTTGGGTGAAGCGCATACGATGCGCTTAGAGGAGTTAGTCGTTGCGTAAGGTCTCTCTCACTAGCATGTACTCATTTCGTATAATACATTCCGATGTAGTTCAAAAACAGTCTTTTTCGTTTCCCCGAATTCCACAGCCTCAACAACAATCAAATTGCAATTTTTACACAATTTAGTCGATTTATGCCGATTTTAACAATCAATAAAATGAGCTCTAATGTGTCAGAAAGATAGGCAATACGCAATGCAAAATAGAAAATTGCAATTACTTATTTTAATTTTATTGCAATGTGTTTCAATAAATTGGGCCCCTTCAAATATGAGCTAGGCAACATACACAACTCTCAGTGGAATTGCAATAATTTTACTACCTATGTAATTCCCAAGTAAAAACGTTCCTTGGCTTTTGTCAAGGAAATGAGCTGATTTCCTTCACTTTTCCAAGCTCCTGGTCCATGGTGATACACAGAACCCTTTCTTTCTCATTATCTTATTTCCTCCGTAAAAGCTGCCAGTGGTCTAGTGCTGAAAAATAGTGATTTGATTTGTTTACAAATTGTTATCACGTCACGAGTTCTGATGGAAGATAGCAAGGCGGATAAAGAATGGTGGTCGCATTTCGTACCCTCTGGACGTCACACGATATCGGGTACATGGGCTGGCCGAGGCCGGGGGGGCCGACTCAACCTCGGATTGCACGGCAAAACCCGTACCCTCCTGACGTCACAACGCTTCAAGATGGCAGCCAAAATCGAAATGCGACCCATTCTTTATCCGCCATCTACCTTGAACTGAACCGCCTTGGGAAGATGATAGAGCCGTTACGACGTTAGCGGAGAAAGATTTGCGTGCCGATCATTCCAGTCTCTCTCTCTCATCATATGCAGTCTTAAAAATTAATGTAAGTACTTAAAGTTTGTTAGTATATCGTTCAGATAATGTAGATCAACAGACCTTTCCCAAAATTAATGATCTAAATGAACTGAGATTTTCCTCCCTCCAGCCTCACTCACTCTGTCACATTGTACCTAGTTTTACCTCATCATTATGAAAAGAGAAATTGTTCTGGAAAACATGGAGAGGGTAGGAACCATTAATGACTCACTGGAAACCATGAAATACTTTCGTCTCACAAGTTGTCAGTCCCCGTTCCTCTCATGAGACAACAGTGCCCAAGTTCAGACGTTCGTCCCGATCTGACCTATCTCCCACTCAGTCAGTTGGGCCGAGCTCATGCCACATCTCTAAATGTCGAGAATGACTTGATCTTCTCTGACCACCTGCCTTAGTGTGCAACTTAACTCAGCCACTGCTGTTGTGAAAAACACTCTGCCATTTTGGATGAACAAGAGCTACGATTCTCTGTTGCGGAGTGTAGCACCTATGAAAAAATTAGGTTACAGGCGATGCAAAAAATTAGTGGCCTTGAAACTCAGTGTTGAATTTGGATGTATTACTTGCTACTAAAACATATTATCGCTTATTCATTCTTTGGTTGCACCTCAATTTTCACATGAGCCCTATACGAGCCAAGTTATGTGGACATTATAGCTCATGCAGCTAGTACAATACTAAATTACGCCTATCTGTCATGGGAGTGATATTATGTCCCCTATTTCCATTATTTTTGTACCTAAACTGCCTTGATGTCTTCTCATAAGGTTACTCAAACACATGACCTCTTCCAATCCTCTCAGTGAACATGAAACGGTACCTCTTGAATCTTGAATATCTCACTCGTTTGACATAGCACTATAAGCGTATAGGACCTACAACTAAAATAATCTGTTCCGTGACATTAACAACTGACCCATTGTACTTTTCCTACAATTGTGGCTTTGCATGTTAGAATTTCCAGTGGAGATTTAATAGAAATGTTGTGCCTGTGAGCGGTGCTTCCGGCTCTTCGTTCCTTGATTATTTACGAGCACCTAGGCAATATAGATTGCTGTAGAACTTAAGCATGACCAAATTTCACCTTGGAGGAGCATTTTTTCATTGAACTGTTTGTAGGGACCAAGATATGAATGAATCCAAGCCTTCAGAGCGAATCAGTATATAGTCTCTCAGGTTCCATTCTTACTTACTCTATGCTGGGTCATTATTTCACAAACAAACTGGAGTGCAGAATAGTATACTTGTTTTTTTCAAAAGTGCAATAAATGAGAAAAATCACGTAACTTTGCACTAACCTACATTTTGGGAACTGAATGATTATCTTATTCAATCTTTGTGTTGGATCCGAGGGGAAAAAAGAAGATAATCCAAACCTGATTTCAGATGCCTACTTTTCCTCAGTTTAAAATTTGCTGAGAATATTTGAAAATAAATTGTTGGCAACTCGGTTTTGGTATGTGTTCCTCTGAACCTGTTTTTTACATTAGGCAGAGCAAAAAGTAAAATCCTCAGTTTCAAGAGAGTTCTTTTAAAATTTAATTTTAAGATTAAATCTCAGGTAGGTATCATAATAATTGAGAAGTTACACCGATTTATAGTTTTTGAGAAAATTGCAATTTTATGAACATTTTAAAATTTCATTCTAAATTGATCAGCCTAAGATCTAGGTCTTTTTTTTTTTCAATGGGTCAAATTTGCATATCAAGTATAAATAGAGTCGTATAGCTGAACGGTAACAACCTCATCCAACTAACACCAAATGACCATTCAAATGCCTTGTATAATGCTGTTTATTTGTTTGTTTTTCAGGGTTTTGAAGGGCTTTCTGCACTCCAGCTTGCGCCTTCTTTCTGGATATCTTGCATTCTGGATTAAGAAAGCGGCTACTGTTCTATGACATGGCTGTCAGTTTCTCATCTGAGCAGTCATCCAATAGGAAATTAGCAGCAACTAAAAATCATCTGGTTTTGAGAAATTCACCACGAATCGCCTCAAAACAACATCATCAAAAGAAGTTAATTGCAGTGTGTTCAGAGAAAATAAACGTAGTACCCATAGTTTTCCTAAAATTTTATGTGTGACCGAAAATTTCTTAAGAAATTTGAAGTGGTGTGAAGTTCGATTAGTTACCTTTAATATTCATTGCTCTAATCTAAAGGAGAAAATAAATGAAAGTGAAAGTGCTGTGTTCAAAGTATCATGAATAGCATCTTTGGTGTTTTTCTTCAGGTTTTATTTTTGATGAAGGATCAGTTGAATTTGGTGAGTCATGCCCATTATATTTTCCTTTTGCATGCAAATTCACAGAAGACCGTACTTTTTTAATAAATTTCATAGACATTTCAATAATTCCTTTCATTTTAAACTTATAAAAAAATTTGACGTATTTCTGCCAAAAGGAACTATGTGCATTAAGACATAAGCCCTGAGACTCATAAGACTTTATGCATAACAGAGCTCACGTCATAATGCACTTAGTTTTGTTTGGCAGAAGTACGTCCAAATGTCCATAGGGGCACATCGTAAATTGGCCTCAGTGGGAATCGCACCTCTCATGATTCCCCATCAGATTTGTCCTCTCTACGGGGAACCGTGGTTTTTCACAGGCCTGAATATCATGTGCCCCCATGGGACGTCATTCCCATGTGCTCCCATGGGGAGACCTCGTTCCCTTGGGCCCCCATGGGGAGGCCCCGTTCCCATGGGCCCCCATGGGGAGACCCCATTCCCATGGGCCCCCATGGGGAGACTCCATTCCCATGTGCACCCCGGAGTAATTCGCGTCCCAAAATACCATGTGCCCCCGTGGGAATTTTTCTGGATATTGCACATGGGACATTTTTAACAGGGGATTTAAAGTGGACTATGTTCTTTATTGTATTCTAAATTGCATTCTCAGAAATTTCTGAATGATTTAATTTGTTTTTTCTTTTTGTAAATGTTAATTGAATTTGATCGCTAAAACCAAAAATATGTTGGTTCTTGGAAACTTTTATTAATGTTAGTTTTGATACTTATTTTTCGTTTTTTTCTGGGTCTCTGAATTTGAGATTTCCTTACACCAGCGGTTTTCGTTTTGTATTCAATGAGTCTGGCGAACTTTTACCTAAGGAAAGAGGAGTGTAGTTTCTCAAGGAAAATAGCCTACAAATCAGGGTGAGAAAGTCTGAAATTCCTCCATTGTCAGTGTAAAAAATTGGCGAATTTCCACCGCTCTTGCTGCCGAAAGTATGTACGGTATAAAGATATTTTTATTTAGATTCATCCCAGTTTTATAACTCTACTCAAAGCTACAAATGGCTGATGTCATGTGACACAATGCCTCAAGTCGAAACGAACGACAAAGGA